AATGGGGTTTTTATTATGCCACGTTCCTCCTCAATATGCTTTCGTAACTTCCCATTGCCTACCAAATAAGCTCCAAACACAAAAACATGGTATTCAAGGCCTTCCAAGATATTACCTAACTCTATCTTAAACAAATCATCTGCTCAAAATCGCCTGATTTACTAATCATTTCTTGCATATCTCATACCTATTTTCATGTTTTTGCACATGCTTCTCCCTTTACCAGTATTATTCTCTCCAGGCCCTATCTCTCCATGAAGAAATCCTACACAACATTCTTCAAGGTCAAGCTCAAATAAGGCCTCCTCTGTGACACTTTCCTTAATTTTAAGGAAAAATTATATTATATCAGCTGGACTCAATTTCTCCCTCACTGAATACCTGTGGCAATTGTTTTCTGAATAATTTATATGCCACATATCAAAGACAGTTTCACTTTGTGGTTTTTAATGGACCCCTTGTCATACTTACTAGATAATTAACTCATTTAAGTTAGACAATATGACAACATAAAAGAAACATTTATTTAGCACTTACTATATTCACAGAGCCCTCTTCCAAATAATAAGGAAAACAAATACCAAGTTGAGATAAAGCCCAGGCCCTGCCCACAAAGAGCCTACAGTTTAGTAGAGAGATAAGAGGCCAACATAATGCTCCAATACTTTGACAGATTCCTGATCTCATTTGTGTGGGCATTCCCTCCCCTGGGTGGCAGATCCTAACTCACCCATACCTTTTGTTCCTGTGAGATTCTTTTCCATGTCCTTCCATAAATCTTTGACAGAAGAATTACCTTGTGCTATGTTTGAGACAGCTATGATAAGTTAGACTTCTTCATCATCCTTTGTGTTACCCGCAATTTTGATGATTTGGAAATTCGATATTGTTCCCAATCCATTTAGCTTAACTAGAAGAACAATTGTGTCTCTCTCATTGGAATGGAAACTTTTTGTGAGTAAAGATTGTTTCTTCAGTATTTGTATCCCCATCACCTGGCACATTGCAGGACCTTAATGAATATTTGATTAACAAAATGGATTTTTTGGAAAGACTTACATGAACTGATTCAAAGTGAAGTGAGAAGAACCAGGAGAACATTGTATACAGTAACAGCAATACAGTACAATGATCAGTTGTGAATGACTTGGCTATTATCAGCAATACAAAGATTTAAGAAGATCTTGAAGGACCTATGATGAAAACTGCTATCCACTTCCAGAGAAAGAACTGATGGAATCTAAATGTAGATCAAAGCATAATTTTTTAAATTTTATTTTTCTTGGGCTTTTTTCTGTCTGTATTTTCTTTTACAACATGACTAATATGGAAATATGTCTTGCATGACTACACATGTATAACCTTTACCAAATTGTTTGCCTTCTCAATGACAGCAAAGCAGAGAGGGGGCAGAAGAGAATTTGGAACTCAAAATGTGTAAAAAAGAAAACAAAAAAATGGTTAAAAATTGTTTTTACGTGTAATCAGAAAAATATTAAAATATTAAAAATAAATAAATAAAAGAATGGATTTTTTGTGTTACTGAGCAGTTTGGGGATCACTGAAAGCACTGCACAGTTTTCTAAATGCAATCTCTCTGTTTTTCCTCTTTGATTCTGGGCTTAGCTCACTATCTATCATTCATCCAAGATAAATACTGATGGACTATGGGCTGTCCACACAACTAGACATATTATAAACTAGACATTAGGTATCCTTCATCCATTTAATCAGGAGAGTGACAGTTGGAATAGAGAGCAGAGGATATATGTGAGAAATGTTGAAGACAGGACCTGGTAAGGGTAGCATATGAGAATGAGGGAAAGTAAGCAACCAAAGATACCAACATTTAGACATGGGACATTGGATCAACAGTAATGTTGCAAACAAAAGAGTGAAGTCAGAAGGAAAAGCAGGTTTAGGAGGAAATGTTCAAATCAAGGTTGCCAGTGAGACATCCAGTGGTGATGTGCTGGAGATAGTGGAAGATGCAAGTGCAGAACTCAGAAGAGAGGTCAGGATTAGAGATGTAGATCTGTGAATCACCTACATAGAGGTAAGAATTGAAACTGAGAGTACAGGAATACTCCAAGGAAAGAAGAGTAGGGAAGAAAATAAAAGGGGGAAGGGCAGAACCTTAGAGGAGGAGGAGGAATCAGCAAAGGAGGCAAAGGAGTGACTGGAGAGAGAACTAGGAGAGTGGGGTGTCTCTGAAATTTAGGAAGATCAAATAGTCAATTGCAGCAAGTCATTTCTAGTATCTTAGAAGCTACAGAATAGTAAAAGAAGATGATAGATAAAGGCCATCAATTTGGTGATTAGGTCACTGGTGACCAGGACAGAAAAGTTTTGACAGAAGGGTGCTGCCCTGTCTTGGTTTTTTCAACTACAACAAGCTGCCACTCCCAGGTTGAGCTCATCACTCCAAATCACATCACCATGCAGTTAACTCCAGTGGAGCCTGACACCACCTCTTTCAGCCTTGTTTCTCCTCAGATTTAGAGGGGTGGAGGGTGGAGTACCAAACTCTACCCAATGCCTTCCTTTACAGAGGACAGAAACTGGACTTTGGAGCTCACTCCTTGCTACCCATCTTGGTTTTTCAATTCCATGGAACAAGATGTCCCTTTGGCGTCCCCATCCTGCCTCCTTTTGTGTATTGTTTCCCCCCCCTCCTCCATTAGGTTGTTAGATATTTGAGGGCAGGAACTGTCTTTCTTTTTATTAATTGTATCCCCAGAGCTTAGCACAGTGTCTGGCACATAAAAGGCTATTAATAAATGTTTATTGGACTGGAGAATGGATGGGAAAGAAGTGGAGGGCACGTCAGATGGACAATCTTTTCAAGAAGTTTGGCAGTGAAGGGTATAGAAGATAAGGGACAGCAACTAAACAAAGTAGAAAGTTCAAGGAAAATTTTATTTTTGTTTTTGTTTTTTGTTTTAGGATGGAAGAAATGTATTTGTTTATAGGCCAATGGGAGGGAGACTGAAGATGCTTCAGAGGGGACCTGGAGCAAGGTCCTGAAAGAGATGGGAAGGAAGGAGATCAAAAGTTAAGAATTAGCCTTGGTGAGTAGAAAGATACTTCCTCTTCTGTAACCAAAGGAAAGGAAAGGCAGGACAAGTGGTTAATGATGTTGAGATGGTTTCTGCAATAAAGGAAAGAAGTTGCTGGATTCACATAGAACTTAAGTTTTTTGAAGATGGAAATTCTTTTTTTACCTTTGTATCCTTTGACTGATAAAGTACGTTTCACCAAGTAATTGTTAAATTAATCAGCAAGCATTATCAAGTCCCTGTTATGAGCCAGGTACTGTGCTAGGACTTGGGATACAAATACAAAGAAAGGCAGTTCTTGCCCTCAAGTCGCTATTTGTCAAATTAATAGATGCTAGGCTATGTGCTATTCACTTTGGAGGTGGAGGGATCTGATCATGGGTATAGGTGAAAAAAGAGAAGCAAATATTTATTTTTTTTTGGTGAGGCAATTGGGGTTAAGTGACTTGCCCAGGGTCACACAGCTAGTAAGTGTCAAGTGTTTGGTCTGAGGCTGAATTTGAACTCAGGTCCTCCTGACTTCAGGGCTGGTGCTCTATCCACTGCGCCACCTAGCCACCCAAGAAGCAAATATTTAGAAAAGCTTCTTGGGAGATGAGATAAGAAGGAAATAATAGTGAGGCAGAATTGCTAAAGGATAGCTAGGGCCTAGCTGAAGCTGTATTGGATAAAATTTGCTCAATGTATTTGTATATGTTCCATTGAGTCTTTTACAAAGGAGGCTTTATTAAATATTTGTTACATGAATTTGCTTATGAAACAATTGTTTCATAAAAATGTCTTCAGCTGTTGTAGGTATATATTATGTCTCCCTAAATAGCATGAGCTCCTTGGGAGGAAACGTGCATCTTACATTTCCTTTTTATTCTTCAACAATGCTTCTGAAAGTATCCTGCTCAAAGTAGGTGATTGATAGTAGTGACTGACATTATATCCAAGAAGCCTGTGTGATAATTGCTACAGTTGTTTTTATCCCTATTTTGCAGATGAGGAAACTGAAGCTGAGAAATTAAGTGACTTATGCAAGGTCACCCAGCTAGTGAGTGTGTGAGCTAGTAAGCATTTCAAACCTAGGTCTTCCTAATTCCAAATCCAGGGCTCTATTCATTCTATCATGCTGCCAGGAATGTTGCTGTTGTTGTTCAGTCATTTTTCAGGTGTGTCTGGTTTGCCATTTCCTTATCCAGATCATTTTACAAACGAAGAAACTGAGGCAAACAGGGTTAAGTGACTTGTCTAGGGTCACACAGCTAACAAGTGTCTGAGGGCAGATATGAATTCAGAAAAATGAATCTTCCTGACTTCAGGCCTGGCACCCACCTAACTGCCCTGCTGCCAGGAACATAACACATTAAGCTTTCACCTTAAATTATCTGAAACTGAGCTACCACACCACTTCCTGACTATGTCCAAACCACATAAGCTGCCATATATGTACTTGCCCCTTTCTCTCCTTTCCAATTCAAGCGCTCCTCTATGAGTTGTCTTCCTTTATTAGCATGTAAGTTTTCTGAGGGCAGGGACTGTCTTGTTTACTTGTATTTGTATCCCCAACACTTAGTACAGTAATTGCTCACAGTAGATGCTTAATAAATCTTTTAAATTCAGTCTGTCTGTCAGCTAACACCTGGTTTCAGATCCTGACTCACACTAGTTGTGTGACTATGAGCAAGTCACTCACGTCTCTAAGCCTCAGCTTCTTCATCTATAAAATGAGAATAATACATACCTATTCTAAAGGATTGTCATGAGACAAACACACTCAGTATTGTTATGAAAGCATCTTGCAAACCTTAAGAGATTATATACATAATATCTTATAAATGTCAACTCTTATTATTTCTGTATTAGTAGAAAGCACATCCCCAGCAAGAATGGGATGCCAAAAAGGTAAATGTTGAATAGAAGATTAAGGTTAAGGTCTCAGAATGGAAGACCCACCTACTTAATCCAGGCCTTCCTGGGTTAGAAACTGCAATGGGGGCAGAGGGATACTGGTAAATGTTCACCATCCAGCTCTCTGTGGGGAAAAATGTACACACAACACATTTTTAAGCTTAACATCTCAGTTTCATATTTTATTAACATTTTCTCCATCACTTCCTTAAGTCTAGACAACAAAACAATAAATCACATGCTGATTTGCAGCATTTGCCGATTTCCACGATGTAAATGCTTACACCGGAAATTTAACAATTGGCTCTAGAGAGCTGACTCCAGCTGCCACCGTCCCCGTCTCCCCTCACCGGCCCCCGAATGAGGAGTTCAGCATTGCCAAAACAGCCAGAGATCACTTGACGTCCGAAAACGGAGGAAAGACAGAATTTAGCGTACTCTACAATCTGCTTCACACTTGCATGTGGAGCCTTATTTCCTATTATTCCCCTTCATGAATTGATTACATTCTAGCAACACTGGGCTACCTCACTGAGTTCCTCAAACTCGATGATTCATCCCTCACCTCCATGTATTTTCACAACCTCTCCCTCATTCTCGGGGTGCACCCCCTCCCCACCTCTGCCTCTCAGAATCTTCGTCTTCCATCAAGGCTCAGTACAGGGCTATCTTGCCCAGGGAGTCTTTCCTGAGTCCTCCTCCTTCCTTTCCCCCTAGTTGTGAGTGGTCTCTCCTCAATCTTCCTCAGACTACACTTATAGGTTATAATTCCCGAGTAGAATGTAAGCGCCTCGTTTTTTTTTGTTTTGTGCCTGGCACCTTGTAGGGACTTAATAGATGTTGTTGAATTGGATTAAAGAGAGAGGTGGGAAATTTCAACAGATAAAATTTACCCAAATTCTAAAATTGCCTAGGGATTATCCTACCTGAATAAAGAAAGTCTGCACTTGTTTCATGAGGGGAGTGAGCAGAAGTTGCATCATGATGCTAAACAACTGAAGGCCTCCAAAAGAGCACCAGACTTTTTATCAGACTCAGTTCTATAGTACAAGGGTACACAACATAATCAACTGAAAGCTAGCCTCATAAACCAAGGAAACTTGCATCCAAGTCCTGCCCGTAAAGCACACCAGCTGTGTGATCCTGGGCAAGCACTTTACTTCTCAATACTACTGACAACTCTCTGAGACTGAGTTACAGAGAAGGCATTAACCAGCATTGGTAAAGGGAGTTCCCTCTAGTCTTTGTCCAATTATGTCATTTTTTTGGTCCTAATCTAGACTATGGAAAAGTGTAAACAGTGTGGTCAATTGTGGGGATCAATTCTGGACCAAGTGTTAACGCATTAAAAAACTGGTTCATAAAAGGAAGTGGAGGATGGCAACTCCAAATTTATAAACTGACAATAAGCTTTTATGAGTAATGAAATGTCTAAATGAGAAAAAAAAACTGAAGAAAGATCATTTGAAGCTTTGTGAGTAGGCTGTAAAAGTTTAAAGAACACTCAATTAGAGGGGTGGGAAAGGGATGAATCTAGATCCAACTTGATGTCCTAACAGGATGACACTTGAACTTTTAGCTAATAATCTATTCACTCCTCCCCCAAACATATGACATGATCCAATTAATCCCCAGCTACCTACAGAACCACAGGATAGAAACATCATAAGTATTTTTTTACTTATCTCTTCCTTTGCCCCCATAGATTAAAACTAGGTCCTGATGATTCTTCTACAAAATTTTGCTAACTTTGGGTCTGCCTGCCTCAAGTCTCTTCCTGTTCTAATCTATCCTCCATTCAGCCACTAAAGTAATTTTCCTAAAACCATAGGTCCTTTCATGTCATCCCCCTACTTAATAAAATCCAGTGGCTTCCTGTTACCTCCAGGAGCAAATATAAAATTCTCTATTTGGCATTCAAATCCTTTCATAACTTAGCCTCCTCCTACCTTCCCAGTCCTCTTAGACCTTACTCCAATACTTTATGATCCAGTGATGCTGATCTCCTTGCTGTTCTACAAATAAAACATCTCTTACCTCTGGGCATTTTCTCTGGCTGTCCCCTATCATGCCTGGAATGCTCTTCCTCCTCTGCTCCAACTACTGCCCTCCCTGGCTTCCTTTAAATCCCAACTAAAATCCCAGTTTCTTTTTTGGGGGGCAAGGAAATGGAGTGAAGTGATTTGCCCAGGGTCACACAGCTAGTAAGTGTCAAGTGTCTGAGGTCATATTTGAACTCAGGTCTTCCTGATTCCAGGGCTGCTGCTCTATCCACTGGGCCATCTAGCTGTCCCTAAAATCCCATTTTCTACAGGAATCCTTCCCCAATCCTTCTTAATTCTAGTGCGTTCCCTCTGTTAATAATTTCCTGCACATCCTGTATGTAACTTGCTTTGTATCTATTTGTTTGCACACTGTGTCTCTCATTAGATTGTAAGCTCCTTGAAGAAAGGGACTGTCTTTTGCTTTTTATATCTCTAGTGCTTAGACTAGTGCCTGGCACATAGTAGGCACTTAATAAATGCATATTGATTGATTGATTGTCATTTCCACAGTAGACATATTAGTCTATCTCCATACATACTAGAATGTAAGCTCTTTGAGGGCAAGGAAGGACTGTTTTATTTTTGCTATATATTCCTTGTACCAGGCAGTGTCTGGCACATTATAACTGCTTAATAAAGGGCTTATTGATTAATTAATTGCCATTACCTCACACCTAAACCGATACAACAGCTCCCTAGTGGTTCTCTTTGCCTCAAATCTCCCTGGGTCTCTCCTATACACAGTTGCTAAAAATGTTATCAAACATTTTCATCATTTCACACTCTGCTCAAAAATTTATGCTGACTCTTGGAAAATGAAATCCAAACTCTTCAGATTGACATTCAAGGCTCTTCATCTCCAAACCTTCTTCTACATCTTACAAACCTCATTTCTCATTACTGCCATAGATGAACCTTATATTTTGCTACAATGCTAATTTTTCCTGGCTAACCCACCAGAACTACAGTTATCCCTTCTGCATCCTGGGGATTAGGGGCATGGCACCCCTGTGGATCTGGACAATCTGTGTAAAATTATTTGACCCTCCCTTCACACCAGAAAAGAAGTCTGAATTTTTTCTTTCTCTTTTATGGGGTGTTTATAGTACCTTATTGTAAAGTTTGGGTTAATATTATATAATACTATACATATATTTTATACATTCCTGAGTTTCTAAATTTTTTCTGTGTTGTCTGTTAGCCTTCCCATGTCATCTGTGGCTTCCACAAAACTCCCAAAAAATTCTCATTTAATTTCTTATGCTGACCCTCGATATATTGAAACTGCAATAGGGAAAGTCGAAATGTGGAAGGGATAACTGTAATATCATAATGGGAATTTTTCCTGTCTTCATTCTTTTGCACATGACACTTGCTCCTTGTGGCCTCTGTTGTCACATTTTTCCATTCCTTTTGCTTTACAAAGTATGTTATGTGAGTGTTAAGGCACTTCTTTTTAGTCATTTGCTTATTCATTTGATCATAAGACAAAATTCTGTTGAATAGCTCTGTGAAGTCCTCCAAGCCAATGAAATCATAGATCCAGACTTAAAAAGAAAAATCCTTCAGTGAACCTTACCTAAATACATGGAGCCTCAGAAGCCCTTAGGTAGTTTTTCAGGAACATGGGAGACAATTCAAGAATTGTGGAAAGAGCACTAGGTTTTGAGTCAGAAGACTGGAAATCATAGCATGAGGAAACTGAGGTTAAGTGGCTTACTTAAGATCAAATAGGTACTAAGTGGCAGAGCTAGGATTTAAACCTGAGCAGCCCCTCTACCTTCCAAATCTAGTGCTTAACTGGATACTAGACTGTCATTTGGAGCTACTACTTACTACATTTGTGATCTAGGACAAGTCATTTAATTTCTCTAGGCCATAATTTCCTTATTTGTACAATAAAGGGATTGGATGAATGGACTTCCCATCTCTAAATTCTATAATGTTATAGTATTCGTTAAATGCTGAAGTCACTCTCTATATTGTGGTTCCTAAATTTTATCAAGAAGACAGCATTGCTTATTCCCCAAAAAAGAATTGGTCAAAGGCTAGGAACAAAAAGTTCTCAAAAAATATTGCAAACTATTAATATGAAAAAATACTCAAAATCACTAATACTAAAAGAATTATAAAATCAAAACAACCCTGAGGTTTCACTTCATACCCAGCAAACTGGCAAAGATGACAAAAGACAGAAATAGTCAATGTTGGAGAGGTTGTGGAAAGACCAGCACAACTTTCAAATTCCTCAACTTTATCCCTGAGGCATAGGAGCCATAATCTCAGTTAAAAGGCATTTATTTGCAGAGAATATTAAGTAGACATAAGGATAGTAGTAATATGTAGATATAAGGTGGTTGTCTACTTGGGAAGTTATAGGATTTTAATAACCACTTGTTTTTAACTTCAAAAAAAATAAAGAGCACATAAGATTTTCTAGGCACAGAAGAGCATAAATCTGACATTTCAGTTTTTGACAGACTGAAATGAGGATCCTCACCTATCAAAGACAGGCTGCAAAATAACTTAAGAGTTTGGGTTCAAGTGATGTTCATGCTGGATAGGTGTGAATCATAACCTCCTTTCTTCCATTTAAAAAAAAAATCTCCCCAGCTTCCAACATGGAAGTTGAGGTAAAGAGAAATTTGTTTTCAGAACAAAAATAATTGCTTACTAAATGAGTCAGATTACCTCCAGAACTTTTAAGATATGTTAATTATATTTTATATATTATTTGTCATATGTATAATTGTTGCATTTTGGATGAATGTAGATTTTTTAAAATTTCCATTTACCTTTATAGGTCAGAAAATGAGAAAATTGTATAATGCTTTAAAATGTACAAAATGTACAAAAAAAAGTTTAAAAAGATACATTGTTGGTGGAGCTATAACCTGATACAACCATTCTGGAAAGTAATTTGGAATTATTCAGATAAAGCGATTGAAATCTTTTGACCCAGAAATTCCATTGCTAGGCATATACCTAGCCACTGCAAGAAGAAAGCATCCATATATACTTCAATACTTAATAGCAGTACTTCTGGAAGCAAGAAAGAATTGGAAACAAAGTAGATGTCTATCACTTGGAGAATAGAATGGCTTAACAAATTATGGTGCATGAAGGTAATGGAATAGTGATGAGATCATAATGCATAATCATAAAGTGTGCTTAGCACAGTGCCTGGCACATGGCAAGCACTATATAAATGTTACCTATTATTTAAGAACTGATAAACATGGTGAATACAGAGAAGCATGGAAAGACTTTTATGAACTGATAACAGGTAAGCAGAGCCAGTAAAAACAATATACACAATAACTGCAACAATGTAAATGGAAAGAACAACAACCACAAAACAACTGAAACTGAAAGTTGCAAAAGTATAAAAGACAAGCTTGGCCCTAGTAAAATGATACTGACAAGATACATCCCTTCTCCCTCATTTCCCCTCCCTTGCAGAGGTGGTGGATACATGGCTGTAGAACATTACGTATCATTTCAGATTTTTTTGGATGTGTTAATCAGTTTTGCTCATTTTTTTCCTTTTCTTTTTTCCTTTTAATTCTTTGTTATCAGGGGTTTGCTCTCTGGGAGAGGGAGAGAAGAAAATGAGAAAACCTAAGTCATGGAAAAACAAAAGTTATTAATAAAAATCTATTGCTACATTTTATAAAAATGGCAATGCAATTAGATTATAGCCTCATTAATTGTAATATAACAAAAGAGTCTAATGGATGGAGGGCTAACATTGGAGATTGGAATACCTGAGTTCTATCTCTTACAAGTGTTACCAGGAAGGAAGGAGGAAGAGCAGCAAATATCTTTTAGATGCTTACTATGGGGCGAGTCACTTAACTTTTCAATGTCCCATTCAACTTAACACTAAGTGAGAGGAGTGCTGATCTGAATGGAGAGTAGTGACATCCAGGAGTTCCTCATGCTGATGAAAGGAGTTCTAAGATAAATTTACAACCTACACTGGATACAGGAACAAAGCATATACAGAAAACAAAAGGATTATGGTCTACTTTGGGTCTAACTCTAGAAAAAGAAGAACCAGAACATAAGATTTTTGTCAATATGTCCAGCATGGAGCAAAATAGTGGGTACTCTGACTCTAATAATATTAGTTGTCTAGACAAGAAATAGCCCTAGAGTGGAGAAGGGCCATTTACCCCATAGCCACAACTTTATAGAAATACAGAAAGACTAGAGATGTTATTAGCTATTATTTTTAAATCTTATGTGCATCTTGTTATTTACATATTGTCTCCCCCAATAGAATGTAAGCTCCTTGAGGGCAGGGACTGTTTGTGCCTTCCTTTGTATCCCCTAAATTTAGCATGTTGTTAGAGACACAGAGCTAAATAAATGCTTATTGATTGATTTATTGTTGATTGGTAGCCCTTAAAAATCTCTAATCCTCTTTGTTCTAATTCTGTTCTCAATAAAGTACATATTAATGTAATTTGGTATAGAAGACAGGGCTATGAATGATTTCCTGATAATGGTAATCTTGCCAGATACATTCCCCCTCTAAAAAATAAATAAATAAAATATCTTTTTATGAATTCGGTTAATGTGACTTGTTTCCTCAGATCCTGATTACCACAGTGAACTGTGATCATCACTACAAGGTACAAATATTCTATGAGGCATTTATTTATTAATTAATTAAACTTTTATTATTACATACTTACTAGGTATACCACAACGTGCAGAAGGTTGGGCTAGATGCGAAGACAAACAACAAATTGTTCCTGTCTCCAAGAAGCTTATATTCTAGTACAGAAAATAGAACATACACAAATTACTATTACTAATAATTTCTGAAGATTTCTGATCTCATCAGTATAAATATTCCTTCCACAATGAATAACCAGAAATAGGACCTTAGTGGAGGGTTACAAGATAAATATGATACAAATTAGAATACAATGACTGCACAGAAGAATATAAAATTCTATGAAATCAGATAAATAAGAAAAAACTTTCAGCTGGGGGATGAAGGAAGTCTTCATGAATAAGTTAACATTTTACCTAGGTCTTGGAACTATGGATAAATGAACACCATCTTAACTGCATCAAAAAATGACAGCAGCCCTTTCCTTCACAAAACATAGGGCAAGAACAGAGCCTAATGAAACAGTTTGATTTCATCAGTGAGAATAAACCTTCTACCAATTAGCTCCTCTGTGCCTTAGGAAATGGTTTCCTGAACTCATAAAGTCATAGTTTTAGAATTAAAAGGAATCTTAGAGACTAGTACAATCCCTCAGTTTTCAGATGACAGAAAATGAGGTGGACTGATTTAACAAAGTCACACAAATACACACATGGTAGAGACAGGATTTTAAGAAAGGTCAGTCCACTATACCACTGCCTGCTGTGGATGATAAAAATTAATTACCAGAGGCCCAACCTTCTATGCCTCTCCAAATTTAGAAAAGTTGGTCCTCAGATAAGAGAGAATAGCTTCCCCAATATTACAGACCTTAACAGAGCTTTAGAACTCATTTTACAAGTGACTCGTCTAAGGTCACATCAGTCCTTAGATGACAGATTTACTATCTTGGCTTAAACAGTAGCAGGGGATAAATCCTAGTCCACATTTAAGGCCTGGATAAGAGGACATTTCTACCTTCATATAACATCTACTGTATCTGCTCCCTTTTCTCCTCTGACACTGCCATCAGCTTTTTGCAGGCCCTCATCATCTCAGGACTGAAGTACAGTGATAGCTTGCTGGTTGGTCTCCCTGGGGAAGTGAAGAGAATAAGCATTAGTTAGGCACCAGACACTGTACTAAGTGCTTTACAAATATTATCTCATTTGATCCTCAGCATAACCTTCGGAGGTAAGTGCTATTATTATCCTCATGGAAACTGAGGTAAAGAGAACTCTGATCTTCCTGACCGCATGCCCAATTCTCTATCCACTTCATCACCTAGCTGCCTCCTTGCTTTCAGCCTCTCCTCCATGTAGCTGTCAAATTGATTTTCCTAAAGCTCAAGTATGACCATGTCCATACATACCATTCCCCCATATATTCAATCAACTCCAATGATTCCCCATTGCCTCCAGAAATAAATATAAGCCATGTTTGGCATTTTAAGCCCTCCATAACCTCGTCCCTTCCTCCTTCCTATCTATACAGACTTCTTACACCTTGCCCTCTCTACACCCCATCCCACATCCCAACTCTGTGACCCCGGGACACTGGCCTCTCTGCTTTTCCTCACACTAGACATTCCATCTCTGACTCCATGCCTTCTCACTGGATGTCCCCCATGCCTGGAATTCTCTCCTTCCATATTTCTGCCTTCTGGCTTCTCTGGCTTCCTTCAATCTCAGATTAAGTTTCATTTTCTGCAAGAAGCCTTTCCCCAACCTCCTTCATTCTAATGTCTTCCTTGTTAACTTCCTTCTAATTTAGCCTGTGTGCAACTTGTTTGTATATGGATGTTTGCCTGCTGTCTTCTCCAATAGGCTAGACTGTGAGTTCCTTGAGATCAGGAATTATCTTTTTTGCCTTCTTTAGCACAGTGCCTGGCACATAGTAGGAGCTTAATAAATGCTCCTTGCCTGACTGACAGATCACTTACACAATTATTCCTAGAAAGGCTAGTCATTGTACTTTTCTATGGCTTCACTACTCTCCCTGTAATTTTCTAAACTGAAATACTTGCCCTGGCCCCTAGTGTGGTTTCCAGAAATACTATTAGGATGTAGGCTCCTTAAGGGCTGAAACTCTCTTTGTACTTGTATTCTTAGCACTTAGCATCTAATTAGTGCTTATTCTTCATTCAATCAACCAATTGATTGATTCTTGGCAGCTAGTGAGTACTTAATAAATACTTATTCATCCATTTATCAATCATTCTGAGGGAAGCTTGGTGCCATGGAAAGACTGTTGGATTTAAAGTTAGAGAAGCAGGGTTTCCAAGTTTTGGTTTCCTGATCTGTAAAATGAAGGGGTTGATATAAATCCTTTTAAGGTCCTTTCTAGTTTTATATTTATGATGCTACTCATCAGAAAGAATGTCCTTCCGGCTATCAAATGAAGAAAATACAGTAAACTTAAAGCATCCCACATCACTCGTTATTATTATTTCATTACTAGATGGAATATGTTTAAAGTATCCCTTTCCAATGGATCAGCTCTCCTGAGATCTTTTCTTAGTCACATAAAGTGGGCCTTTCACAGTTAGCTGAAGACATCATTAAAGCAGTCAACTATCATGTCTTCTATATTACATGAAATCTTACGGAGTATTTTTGGTGTCTTCTAAATACCACTGGCCTGAAAATTATCTATAAAAATCTAAGAAAGCTTAAATGATGAAAGTTCTCTAGAAAACTCTGCAGTCTATTCATTGAGCTGAAAACTGAATGGTAATGATGTCATTATACATTTTTAAGCACCCACAGGGTGATGCTGTACACACATAGAGAAATTATTCTGTCCCACAGCTTGCAATCTAAAATTAGATAAATATAGCCAAACCAGATAAACATAGACAGCACTTTGATTTTTTAAAGAGGGAACTGAAAAGGAAAAAGAGGCCAAAAAAGAAGTTGATGGGAAAAGGAAAAGAATACAGAGAATGAAAAGAGGTGCAGACAAATGGTTGAATTACTTTCCTTTATGCCAATCATCTTTATCAGATTGTAAAAAATAAGTTCTATTAGGGACTAACCACACCAATTATATCTGTCATTAAATTAGTTCTGTAAGGCTTCTAAAATATTCATTCTTAATAAATTAGTAAGAATATTAACACTAAAGTTCTCTAATGCTTCCTTGAAGAGTAGGGGAAATTCTAGCGTCTTAAACATTATTTCAGAAATTGGTCTTACCAAGCTGGGAAAGGCTTCAAGAATGGAAAGAAGACAGACTATTACATCTGTCATCCAAGAACCAGTCTAAACTAAATTCAAAGGGGTTTGAACCAGCTTGGACACAGGGTAATGAAATTTTCCGACACAACAATGCTACAAGACAGTCTATAGTTCAGTCTAAAGTCTACTAAACTGGAGGGTGATCCTTATTGATGAAATTACAATCCTTAAGTAGAGTCACAAAATAAAGTGTTTTCTCTTTTAAACTAAGAATTATGAATTTGAAACATTTTTATTTTAATAATAAATATCATAACCCAATACAAAATTATAACTGGGTCACAATTTAATTTCTTTTTTGTCTTTGGTTTCTACTGGGTTTTTTTTTCCTTTTGGTTCAACAAAAGAAGAATTTGAGCAAACTTTTGCCTTATTTTTATGGCTATGATGGAAATACTGTATTTATTAATCTCAAAATTATAAAACATAGGGACCTATAATAAACTACTTGAGGGCAGGGAATGAGTCTGAGTTTTTTGGGTAGTTCCCTATGTCACCTCATATATTTTCTGCTCATCAGGCTTTTTAAAAATATATTGATGATACTGATTTCCATACAAAAGTCTAATGATAGCCATCATACATGGGAAAGAACATAGCATTGAAGAGTCCGAAGTCCTAGGTTCCCAGTCTATTCTCATTTAAAGGGTAACTGTAGGCAACTTTTCTGAGCCTCCTTTTTACCTATAAAAACTGCACAGTAATTTCCAATAACTGTCTCAAAAGATTGTTATAAAGAAAGTGCCTTGTAAGTTGTAAAGAGCTTTACAAATTCAATTTCATCATTTCATAATAGTTATGTTTCTTTCAAAACAGAAACATAAGTTATGCCCCACTGTTTGCTTAATGAAGTACATAAATCAACTGTCAATTTTATTTACTATTATAAACATTTACAGGAAATGCCAAATAAACCAACAATCAAGCACAAGATCATAAGTTTAGCTCTGAAGAGGATGTCAGAGATCATTTAGCTGAACATCCTATTTATAAAGATGAGGAAATTGATGCACAGAGAAAGTTAAAGGTTACTCAAATAAGAGACTGAATTGAGGAGACCTGGTTCTCTCACTTCAAATCGAGTACTCTTTCAACTGTTCAATTATAAAGTTCCCTTGCCTTTTAGCAATTAACCACCAATATTCAAGTTATTGTAACAGTTTCGTCCCCCAAAAGCTATTTTATTCCTACCTCAAAATGAAAGTGAACCGGCTGTGAAACTCACAGGAGAAACCCTGAACTAGCTTTTAAGTGGGTGATAGCATGTAGTTTGCTTCAGGAAAGCAAAAAGAACTCTTTTTCCCTGATGGAGTTTGCAGTTGAGGGGCTTATTAGTTTGTTTTTTTTGTTATTGGTTTTGTGGGCTTATTTATTTTGCATTATAAGGACCCGTACCCTTGTACTAACGACGTCATTACTGTAATTAGTCTGCCAGTATTTGATCTTTAGCACTGCTTAAGGTAAAGCCTTAATGGAATTTATAGAAATTATTTTTAAAGCTTTACCATATGGCATTTCCGTTTTTCCTAAGTGACAGTTCTTTATAGCCAGAGTTCCTGGGGTTGGACAGGGAAAACGCCATTCACTTTTCATATGTTCCAGGTCTTTAAAACACTCTGTGAAAAACGTGTACATATACCTTATTAGGAATAGAAAATCAAGAAGCCAGCACAGCGCCTTGCTCATACACAGAAGGCACTTACACGTGGGCTGAACGGAACTGAAAAAGTATGCCAAGTGGCACAGTAAGGTAACAGCTGATCCTCAGGACCTGGGGCAGAGGGGATTAAACTTCCGATCCACAAAATTTTTTTTAAAATGTTTAAACTGTAGGTCAATACAATTAGCTTCCCATGTTTTATTTTTCTGTATTTAAAAACATTATTCTAAGAA